AGAGACAATGCCAATTCAGTCCAGCTATGTTCATTAGCTACAACCTCTAGCAAGAATCTTCCCAGACTAAAACCCCAGTTCCCACTTTTTGTGGCACCGTTTCTCATATTTCTTCTTTATTGCTGAACTGGATGATCAGATTGGTGATGAACTGCTATACATAGGAATCTATACAAAGCTGTCCATATGGGTCTAATCCACCTGGTCCAGTAGTACTCATTACAACTTGCAGTAGCTCTTGAAGGCCTCCAGAAGAAGCACCATCTGAGATATTTTTAATTTGAGAAAAGCAGAGAAGGAACTTCCTGCATGCAACTAAGCTATGACTGTTGCCTGAATAGATCAACCATTTTTACAATGATATTTCTCTTCTTCATCCTTCTCCACACAGATACATAGGCACACATCTTTTAATATGCTAGAGATGAAAGCTAGAAGTAGCCTTGGAGATAGAAGCGTTTCTTTTCTTATTTCCACTAATCAGCCTTCCAGAGACCAGATTATGGATGTGTTGGACTGCAATTCCTGTCATATCCATACTGATTGAGGAGTTAAGGGAATTAAGTCCATATCTGGAGGGCAGCAGTTTGGGGAAACTGCTATATGAGAATGTCTCTGGTTGGTGCTAACCTAGAAGTCCAGGAAACAGGATGCAGAGCAGAAAAGAGGAGCCTTATTTTATAGGATTTTGTGCAACTTTCCCCAATAAGTGCTGCATCATCTCAGCTCAGCCCTTTCAAGAATTAAATGAAGGTCCAATATAATTCATGGACATCAGCAGCTAGAACCAGATAAACTGAGTTCAGATTACAAGCCCTGAGGTTTACCTGCAGATCTACAGAACTCAGTGCAAATAGATGTGCACAGGAACAGGTTGTTAAGCAAGACCTTCCACAATCTGATCCTATGCACATCTACTTGCACTGATTGAAGGTAAAAAAATTTGCCCTCAGGACTTAAAATAAAGAATAATATCAGAGCATTTCAACCTCCATGACATTCCGTAGCAGGTCTCAAAGTGGCCCTTTTGAAAAAGCAAGACAGTAACAGCACGATTGAGTGACTTGAGTGAAAAATTGATGAAGTTACATACACAAAATATTTCAGTTTATCTCTAAAAGTCTCAACAAACACAATAGGTCTTTAATACACTTTCATTGTTAACAGGTAAGGTAGTTGTAATCTGTCTCACGTGTAATTTGTATCTGCATAACCAAGCTGTCTTCCCCTCCCTTCCCCCCCCCACCTCACTCAACTTTAAATCCTATATCAGTCTAGCAACTCTTATGCATCTGATTAAAGTTTATGCCTTTTAATAAAATTTGCTAGAAGAAAAAGCTGCTACCAGACTCCTCCTGACTTTTAACAGCCCTGCGAGGTAGCTTAGTTTAAAAGATACAAATTTTACCCAAAGATAGTTAATCTAGTATACTAGTTACACTGCTGCTGTGCAAGCTGCACTGGCTCCTAGTTTCTTTCTGGGTGCAATTCAAGATGCTGTTATTACCTTTAAAGCCCCACATGGCATTAGGCCAGGTTATCTGTGGGATCGCCTGCTCCACTAGGCTAGATAGGGTAGGTGCTCTCCAGGTATCAGCACTTCAAGACCAGACTAGGAAATCAACATTATCAGTGCTAATACTACTTTTATTATAAGGTTACAGTACAGGGAGTCCACATTTAGCAATGCCTCGGACAGCAACCATTCACAGTTACAGCAGTGATGAAAAAGTAACTTTATGACCAATCCTTGCATTTACGACCTTTGCAGGTCTGTAAAGCAAAGGAAAGCTGAAGTAAGATCACAAGCACAGTCACAGTTTCACTTAGCGACCGCTTCGCTTAATGGCCAAATTGCTGGTCTCAGTTTGGTCACTAAATGATGACTACCTGCAACAGAACTTGCTATTTGCTAGTCTGAATACACTTCCCCCCTCCCTCCCTTTGTCTTTGTGAGAACTAGGGAGGGTCATGTCTGAGATGCTTTCTCAAATTACAGTTCTGCCTTGGACTCAGATTGCTTTTATCTGAACATTGTCTTGGTTGCAGCTCATCCTCCTGTTCCTCAAGGTTATTCCTACTCCCTTTATATCAGGTCCCATCCCTTAAGTGTTGCCCTTAAGTGTTGCCATCTAGTAGGACCTAGGCAGCATGCCTTTTCTGTAGCAACCCCTGCCCTATGGAAAACCCTTCCCCTTGGGGTCCAGCAAGCCCCCACCCTTTTACCCTTCCAGAAAACCATAAAGGGCTGGTTTTTCCCCAGATGCAGGGATAGGCTAAGTTTGGAACCCAAGGATTGTATGGATTGATGGATGGGAGATGGTGGGTCAGACACTTGGTTTTGTTGGCTTTTCTTATTTTTGGTTTTATTATTCTTGTAGGCTGTCCACAGTCGTGTCTTACCGGGGGGGGGGGGCAGTATAAATCAAATAAATAAATATATAAATAAATAAATAAATAAAATACATAGTTAATACAGACTAACAAAAATAGTCAATGATTTTCTTCATGTCTGAAATGTTTTGCATTTAGGTAAACTTAGGATGAGAGGATATGTATCTAGCAGATGGATAATCAATTCAATCTCTGCAGCAAACCAGATATATAGAACAGGCAATCATATTAGATCAGTTAAGCCTCCAGAACTTTAATTTCTGTCTTTAATTTGTAAATGGGCATCTTTCCAGGGTCACTGGAAAATGCTGAGGAATATTCTCACCAGATGTACAGGAAGATAGTTTTTTGATTGCTCTCCATTCAGCGCATGCTTTTCTTCTTCTATCATCATTATAATCATCATCTGTCCCTCCCTCCTCACCGCCCCCCCACACTAGTATTGTGATCATCACCATCATTGTCTTCAGTCCACTTCACAAAGAAATTTATCTAGTCCTCTCCAAAGCAAGGAGGCATGAATTACTTAGGTTCTTCCAGAAGAAGACTTTGAAAGAGTTAGGGGCACTGAACCAGTGTGCTTGACATATGCAACCCCCGGGACTAAATTTATCCCTTTGTAGATAAATACAAACTGAGAGCCAGTGTGGTGTAGTGGTTAAGGTACCTGACTTGAAACTGGGAGACTGGGAGTTCTAGTTCCATCTTAGGCATGAAGCCAGCTGGGTGACCTTGGGCCAGTCCCTCCCTGTCAGCCCTAGGAAGAAGGCAAGGGCAAATCACTTGCATGAGCTGTATTCTAAAACAGCTGAAGGACACCATATTGCATACTCCCATAATATATTTAAATTCCTAATACTTCTTGATGAACGTCTTGCATGAGGAACATTTTTCATTTCCTCCTTGTCATACCATAGCCAGGTTGTGTCTGCCTGTTACAGGTTGACACATCACATTATGGTTTAGTGTGTTGGGTGAAGCCATCTGGTTGTGCTTTAGTCACTTAGACAAATCAGAGTTGCACCAAGTAGGCCTGTTCATCACTAGGAAGAAGTAGTCATCAGGAAAAGTTCCAGAATTACTCAGCACCTCATTATAGCAAACACTAGGTTGCAAAAGCTAGCTCAGCACAGCAGGATTTCCTTTCTGTCTGGAGGACATCAGGACCCCCAACTCTGATCTGGATTTCAAGGAAGCCATTCGGGGTTCGCTATGCTTGATTGGTTCTCCCCACTTGTCCAAATGTCTTTCCACCAATCACCTGCGTTTTAATCTTTGATTGTTGGGCGGTTGTACTTTGTTGCTATTTTCCAACCCCCTTTCAGAGAAGAAATACTAGGCAGCAGCTATTTCTAGTGTTTGTTGCTGCCATTTAAAAAACAGAAAAAGAGGATAATTAGAGATCTTCAAATTGTGCTTCCTGCAAAAATAACTCAGACTTTATCAAGTGAAAAAGGACATTTAAACTTTGTGTAAGTAGATATTT